GCACACAGTGGCCTTGGGATCATGGCCCCCTGTGGAGAGAAGGATTGTTACTGTCAGAAGTCACAGCCCCTCAAGACCTAGGCCCCAGGCCAGTATTGATTCTGCCAAGCATTTTCTAGATTTGATAGGAAAAGCTGTTTTTTCTCTGTACATCAGGGCCTCAGGGAGAGCTGTGGAGTAGCCTAGGTCTCAACAGGAAGGGATATGAAAGAAAGCCCTAGACAGTTCCTAGGTTTTGGGTTGAGTAACTGGACACAAGGCAGGGTCATTTCTCAAGACAGGGTTGGGAAAATTGGATAGAACAGGTTTGGAGAAGGAAAGTTTAAGAATTAACATTTTTGGATAGCACCCTGCACACATCCAGGTCAAACTGGACAATATGTGAATCCGGGGTACAGCAAAGCCAAAAGTAGAATATGTACATGTAAGTGGCCCTGGCTTCAGTAATCATCTAGAGGGAAGCATTGAAGGCATCATTCCCTAGCCAGGGAGCCAAGGAACTGGGCACTACTGAATTAGATGAAGACTCAGACCTGGTATGTCTCAGAAGGCAAAAGAGGTAGTACTTAAAGATCAGGTAGGAAAAACTGAGCCCAGGACCGAGGAGATACACCAGAGGCAGACAGCTGTGTGGCTGTCGCTGGAGCAGTTTGACAGCACTAGAAAGAGAGTGAGGGGCTGAGGGGGTGCTTAGATCATCCTCCACCAAACAGTGATTTCTAGTGCTGTGCTAAACCTGAACTGCGTGACGTTCTTAGGAGTTTGTCATTTTTTTTTCCAAAACAGAATGGCACACAGGACAGATACTCAACAACAAAAAGATGCTGTAAAAGCTTCATTGCCACCCACACAGCTCATAAACTGTGACGAGCCATGAAAGAACTCCTGAAAGACCAGCATTAATAATTTTATGGGGCAGCTCTCCAAGACATCCTGAAAGAATAACTAATAAAAACAACTTTAAAAGGCTGAACAAAAATAGAAAAACTGGTTGGGAATAAATCATGCCTGGTCAACATGAATGTTGTAATGCTAAGGAAACAATCATAAACATAGGGTGATGATGTCTGTGGTTACCAAATTCCAAATGTAACAAATCCCATAACTTCCAAAACACTTGTCTAGAATCGTAGCCCACTTTTATGTGACTTGTCCACACATCGCTACTGAGCTTGTGTTGTGTTCCATCTCAGTCCACAAATATTTTTAGTGAGCAGATAGAAAGAGCCATGCTTGCTGCTGAGAGAGACAGAAATGAGTCACAAGTTGCCTGGGCCTTCCAGAGCTAGCAAGAAGTCTTTCTGTCACTGGGCAAGTTACCACAGTAATAAGGACAGGGGCTCCACTTGTCTGGGTTAATGTGACCCACACATGAAGGTAAAGGCAGTTGCTATTAGGGGTGTACGAATAGATTCAAAAGGAAAGGAATGAGAATACTGGGCACACAGCTAAAAAAATAAGTTAGTAAACAAACATTTTAGAATATGGTGGGATAAATAGGAAACTGTAAACAAAGGGTCATTGGATAAATTTTGTCCAAAAAAGATTATTGAAAAATTGTGGCTTAAAGACTTGTTAAATAGACTTTCAACAGATAGGAGATGAAAACATACACTGGGTACAGAAACGAGAGGAAAGTACTTTGGAAGGTGTTCAACCATGAGAGAAGTCCTTGAATTTTTTTTAACAAAAACCTCTATGAACAGGGGCATCTTTTTCATCCATACTGTCTTTTTGAGTCCATACTGTCTTGAGTTCATTTCCTACCACTGAACTAAGTATTTTATAGACACAGTATATATGCCAGCTGGGTGGTGGAACAGTGAGGGAGGGAAGGAAGAAATAGGGGAGTGGAGGTCTCTATTTTCTTCCTCTTTTGACTGACATTGTCTTCTTCAGAAAGAGCAATTGGGGTTGGGTCACCCAGACATTTTGTACAAGGGTTCTTGCTAGGTAGCCCCAGCAAGATTCCTGCTGTACACCCGGCTATGACAAGGGCAGTAACGAGCCCCATGTTCTGTAAACACAGAGGAAGCATTCCTGGTTTACCACAGATGGCTTCTACCACTTCCCACTTTGGTCTGTTGGTTGGTCTGTTTGGCCATGTGGGGTGTCCAATTCGAGACCCCAGTGTATGCTGGCAAGTGTTCCACCACCCAAGCCACACCCCTGGCCTCCCAGTGTACTTTCATGGGAAGAACAGAGGCAGGCGCCAAGGACACCTGAATAGTAACAGACCACACGGTATCTCCTTGGAGTACTGTCCTTTGAAATTCAGAGAAAGCCGAGACTTAGGAAGACATGAAAAGATTATAAGCAGGAAAAACCGGAGGAAGACCAGGTGTCTCTTGACTTTGCCTGAAACTTAGAAATGTCCCCATATGTGTGGGAAGGATGGGAAGGGTAGGCCAAGGGGCTATACCAGTCACATAGTACTCAGGACCTCAGACGGAAAAGAGCTTGTGCTTGTTTGAATGTTCCACTGAAATCACCTCAAAATCCTTAATAATTTCATTTTGCCTCACACACTCTAGAGGCAGAAGCTAGCAAGCTCAGGCCTCACCTGGGACCTGCACCTTTATGTGATCTCTTGACCTTTTCCTCCCAAGTGTGTCTAATGTTAGGACAAAGGGATGTGGAGCTGACCAACGTGGTTCTGAGGGAGGAGCAGGAAGCATTAAGACTTAGATTTCTAGCCTTTAGGAAAACATCACAGGTCAATGATAGAGTGCTTGCCTAGCATTTGTAAGGCCCTAGGCTCAAACAACCAAACAAGAACATCAATGAAAAATATGGGGTGCTAGAGAGATGACTCAGTGCTTAAGAGCACTGACTGCTCTTCCAGAGGCCCCAGGTTCAATTCCCAGCACCCACATGGCAGCTCACAACTGTCTGTAACTCCAGTTCCAGGTGATCTGAAACCTCACACCAATGTCCATAAAATAAAATTAAATAAATTATGTTTTAAAAAAATATGATATAAGGCCAGATGTGCTGCGGTGAATACCTTTAATCCCAGCATACCTGAGGCAGAAGCAGGAGAAACTTGAATTTGAGGCCAGAACAGGCCATAGAGTAGTTTCCAAGCTGTTTTGAACTACATAGTGAAACTTGATCTCAAAAAAAGCAAACCAAACAAAAGAAAAATCGGGTTTATGTTCTGTTCCCTGATTATCTGTGAGCACATTTTCAAAATATGACAACCTGTGACCCCAAAGCAGTCAAATAACATGGACGGCTCCTGACTACATTGTCTGTTCACTGGGCTAGAAAGACCTTTTGGCCCTCGGAGCCCGCTCAACACCGCAGCACTGGTGGGCATGCTTGCTCGATGGGGCAGAGATGAAGCCCCAGTTCCACAGAGTCCGCCATGGACCACGGTCTCCTCTCCCCTCCCAGGGCTCCTCCAGAACCTTCACCGGCACACACCTGCCAACACAGAAGTGTCCGTTCTGTTTCCACCCTTCCCCTGCTGGAAACCAGCGCCCTTTCCACTCCAGCCGTTACTTCTGCGCCTAGCACTGCTTTGCCTGCCTGGACTCCGGCTGTATCCAGGTCTCCATCTCTACTCCCAACTCTGGACACAGCTCCACCAGTGTCCGCAACCATGATGAGAAGTGCTAGGTTCCGACCTCCTGACTTTTGCACACACAAGTCCTTTCTGAGATCTGGAAGCGCCCTGCTTGCCTGGTCTCAGATCTCAGTGGGACTGTCACGCCTCTGGGACTCTGTATTGTTAGTACTTACTATGGTGCCACGGTGAACGAAATATCTGACAGCAATAACCCAGTGTGGGTAAGGTTTATATTGGCTTACATTTTCAGAGGATATACACCCATCATAGCAGAAAGATACGGCGGAGCGGCTCAGTCCGCGGCAGCAGGAGCATGGTGATACAAAGGTCAGAGTAGGGAACAAAGAGCCTTGGGCACACAGATAAATAAGCACTGGAGAAGCCGGAAAAGTTTAACACACAGCTGATCTCTTCCACGGAATGAGATGCGAAGTCGCTCTTCCTGAACCGCTAGGAATGAGGTCGGTTTACAACCTGGAGATCCTTTTGCTGCCTAATGAGACAGGTTCTGCCCTTATCTCCCAGAATTTATGGTTTTACGCATCCAAGACCTTTTTCCCTAAATTATAAAGCATTGCTTTTAAACCATAAACCCACTCTTATGAGTGAGATCACTTGTACTTTACAACAGCCTAAGTGACTTCTATGTTATCTCAGGGGCAGGTCAATCCCGGCACCCTTTGGGTACTGTCTCTGAGTCAACAGTACCCATTCTTACAAAAGAAGCCAAATGTACTTTATAAGGAATCTCAATGTAAACATGTCTTAAATTGCGCGTTTGGGGCTAAGTTAACTATTATCTGAATACTTTTTTCCAAAATTGTGCTGTGTTTAAGTATGACAAAGCAAAATCATCTGGGACCAGCTCAGATGTCCGGGTCCAGCGCTGGTTACAACAAAATCGGGCTGAGCCCAGGTTCATTCTTCCCCAGCCTGCTTTGAATTCTGCAAGGGAACCACCACGGAGCAGGAGGCAGGGAACAGCAGGGGTAGGGGACAAAGCATCCCTGCCTCTGAAGGCTCCTTGGGTTCCCCAAAATTACAACCCCACCTAGGGAGCAGGTGCTTAAAACACAGGTAGACCATTTCAGATTCAAACTAAGAAAATCTTTCCTTGGAATGCTCTTCCTCTCCCTACTCAGCACCAGGACAAAGCCACTGTGTTCTGGCTATATGACCCAGAGGGTGTTACCTGCACTCCCATTCACTTGCCGTATCACCACTAATGCCACCTGTGTAGACTAATAATGGAAACATTCTGCCCTTGTTCTCCCCTGAATTCCCCAAACCTGGCCGCAGAAAGAAGAAGCAATTCTACTCTTGGAGACCAGCCATTGTTGAGTGACTTCCCTTTATTGTATCACAATATTCCTGGAAGAAACACATTCTAGTGCCCAGAGAAACTGTAAGGCTGTTGCTTCTTTGTCTGCTACCAGAGTCTAACAGTCGGTCTGGCAAGTAATTGACAAAGAAAGCTGGGAATGAAGTAAACTCAAGGAGAAACTGGAACCACAGGGATGAGCTAGGACTCTCCATAATGGGCCAGAAATCATGTTGGCATCTCTCCCTCTCCAACCTCCATCTGAGTATAGCTTCCAGGAGCTACAGACCACTCTGTCAAGAGCAAGCACACCTTGGCCCAGGGTCCCAGATGCTGAAGGAAGTTTGATAGGATCTGCAGGGACTGCTGCTCCACACTAACCAGGTAAGGCAACAAAGAACTGTCGGTGGCCTAGTTGCCACAGTCCCAGAGCCCTGCACTGACCTTCTGGGAATAAAAAGAGTTGACACTTAGATCCCACCTCCAAAACCATGGGCACAGTGTCTCTTGTGAAGCAAGTAACACACAACTCTATAGGAAAGGGGATTCTGGAACCCTAGTTCCTGTCACCTAAAACAATGCAGTAGAAACTACTTCACTCCCTTTTCTAGTCTGGTGTGTCTGTCTGTCATTTTTGAGACATAGTCTCACTATGTGGCCCTAGATAGTTTGGAATGTGCTAGTGAGACCAGCCTGGCCTTGAACCCACAGAGATCCACCTGCCTCTGCCTCATTCTCCAGCTTCCCTTTCCTAGTTTCTTTACTATTACAAATTAAAACAAGATTTCCTCTCCCTGACATCCAATTTTATACCATTAATAGAACGTTACATAATACATTGATCTCCTCAATAACTAAATCCATGACCAGCTGCTTCCCATAATTCTGAAGGGGACAGGTTTTAGGCCTATGTCAGTTTTTCTTATGTTTGGTTTTTCTGGAACCACCCAGGAAACCAACCGCAGTTGCAATTTGGTTCAACTGAATATCCTGAACCAAAGAAGTCCCTGGCATCCTCCAGAACTGGGATTCATCAAAGAGCGTTGAGACTCTGGAGCGTTGGCATCAGAGGGATGTAGGAGAAAGTAACAGACACCGATTTCTTTTTTCCTACATACAAGACAATCATTCACCTTCTGGAAGACAAGCCTTAGTTTCTTGTTGAGGCACCATATCTTCCTCCAGTTTTGGTCCTTTTAGTTGAAAGTAGCTATCTCCTTCCTGGTTCAGAAGTTAACAAGTTCCAAGTCAGCGAGTTCACTGTACCCACGGCCATAGTTGTGGGGTGGGCATGAATTCAGGGTCCTCCACAGCCCCACCTGATCCAGTGAGTCCATTGTACCCATGGCCACAGTGGTGGGGTAGGCATGTGTGCAGAGCCCTTGGCAGCCCCATCCGAGCCAGTGAGGCTCACTCTGGAACTTTGATTTGAGGAAAGTGGGCAATCCCAGTGCTTGAGCCTAGGAGGTCAGCCTGGCTGGGAGTGGAGCCGACATGAGCTGAGCTGAGCACCCCCTGGGGGATGGGGGAGCTCATCCTGAAGTCAGCTTCCCATTAGATTTCACAGTTGCTGTGCTCACTTGTGTTCTCTTACCTGAGGACCCACGGCATGTGAATAATCCAACAATTTAACACACTTCTCAAGACACCTGCTGCACAATCCATTTGATGTTTGTGAGTATTGTTACTATGACTACATGTACAAGATTGAACTTTGATCTTTAGCAGGAAGGTTATAACTTTGCGTGGTGGAGTGCATTTTCTCCTTACTTTTCTTTAGTGTGCCTTGGGGATCTAGTTTGGCCAGCAGACAGCTTTAGGTAAACTTTACTCCCTCCTGTAGTCTAGGTCAGGATGTCCCTGACATTGGCATGTAATAGTCATGTACAGTTCCTACCTCCCCCACTCAGGCCAGCAAATGGGAAACAGACATAGGGTTTGCTATCGTTTTATTAAATATGAGATATGTTAACTAGTTTTATGTCAATTTAACACAAGCTAGAGTCATTAGGGAATAGGGATTTTTGTTTGTTTGTTTGTTTTTGAGACAGGGTTTTTCTGTGTAGCCCTGGCTGTCCTGGAACTCACTCTGTAGACCAGGCTGGCCTTGAACGCACAGAGATCCACCTGCCTCTGCCTCCTGAGTGTTGGAATTAAAGGCATGCACCACCACCACCCACATGGGAATAAGAATTTTTATTTGAGAAAATACATAAGATTGTTCTCTAGGTGACGTTGTGTGTAAAAGAAAGCAAGAAATCAATGATTGATGTGGGAGAGCCCAGACAACTGTGGGTCATGCTACCGTTGGTATGTGGTTATAGGAAAGCAGGCTAAGCAAGCAATAGGGAGCAAACCAGTAAGTAGCGTTCCTTCATGGCCTCTTCTTCAATTCCTGCCTCTAGTTCCTGCCCTGACTTCCCTTCAAGATGAACTATAAGCTGTAAATGGAAATAAACCTTTTCCTCCCCTACAAGCAACACCGTGCTTGGCCATGGTGTTTATCACGGCAATAGAAGACAAAGACAGGCTTACAAAGATCAACCATCAACTACCATAGTAGTCTTTAAAAGTCGCTTTCATATTACAATAGCCAAAGCTACCTACATATTCAGTATAATCTCTATTAAAATCCTAACAAATAAATAGAAAAAAACTCTAACATCCAAATACTCAAAATGAGCCTAAAACAAGAAAACAAAGCTGTAGACTTGCTGGCATCAAAATATATTACAAAGCTATGGTAATCAAAACAGTATGGCACAGCCATAAATATATTACAAAGCTATGGTAATCAAAACAGCATGGCACAGCCATAAATACAACACACAAAGAGCAACAAAACAAAACAGTTCAAATTATCTGTGACAAGGGGACAAATGTGACACCATATCGGGGGAAACACAGAACCTTCCACAGTGGTGCTTCGAAAACCATATCTCCACATCCAAAAGGAATGAATTTAGACCCATACTGTGCACTACGTGCAAAAATTTACTCAAATCAACAACTAAACTTAAGACCTAAAACCACAAAAGTAGAAGAAAGCAGGAAACCATTGAATTTGACAAGGATTCCTTGGAAAGGACACTGAAAGTACAGGTATCAAAACAGGGATAGCATGCACTTAAGAACACACATGTAGAAGGACAGCGTGCACTTAAGAACACATGTGTAGAAGGGGAGGTGACATGGCTCAGTGCATAGAAGTGCTTGATGCCGGCTTGAAGATCTGAGTTTGAACCCCAGAAATCTCAAAGTGGAATGAGAGAATTGATTGTGGTTCTCACACCCACGCACACACGCGCGCACACACCCCCACACACACGCATACACACTGCAGCACATGCACACCCATGTACACGTATACACACAAACACAAAAATAAGTGACTAGACGGAAAACAATAAAAAAGAAACGTGAGCTGCTGTGCAGCAAAGGAAGCGATGCCCAGAGTGAAAGGCGACCTATGTGAACAGAGTGGGTGCTTGCGATCTTCAGTCCTCGGGAAGCTGAGGCAGGAGGATCTGAAGTTTGAGGTCAGTCTAAGCTACATCTCCAACCTGCTCCTTCAACCCCCATGCCCACAATGCTAATAATAGGAAAACAGGCAGAGGTGGAGTGGAGTAGAAAAACGGGTGTGTGGGACTCCTGAGTAGGTGGGAATCCTGGGTGTGTGGGAATTCTATGTCCTTTCTACTCAATATCCTGCAAACCTGAAATTACTCTAAAATTTGAGTTAACTTACTTAAATGAGACCAACACAAAAGAAAAAAAGTAAAAAATAAAAACATCAAAAACTAGGGGAAAATACAAATTATTATGTGAAAAAAAAATGAAGAATTTGTAAGAAAACTTTCTCAAGAAGAAAAAACAGTCTGAAAGACAGCTCAGTAGGAAAAGGCACTTGCCACAAAGACTGCCCACCCTGAGTTCTGTCCCCAGGAGCCACATGGTGGAAGGAGGAAATCAACTCTTAGAATCTTTCTTCTGATCTCCACATGTACACATTCACATGTACACATGTACAAATAAATAACTTAAGAAATAATTAAATAGGTCAGCAATCTCCATCAGAACAGGTTCAACTCCAAGCCAGGGACTTCTGCAGGAGGGGATTCAGACCAGGATTTACATAAACAGACCAAAGCCAGCAGCCTAGGCCAAAGTAAACCTGAGACAGCAAACTCCAAGGGAGCAGAGCCAAGCACAGGAGCACTGAGCTATCTCCAGGAACAGGAATATTCAACAAGGTAACTAGAACCGTGACGCTGACTGTACCACGGGGAACAACCATCTGAGCTTTGGATTCACTGGCACCTAGAAGATTATTCAACAGAATCTCAGACAGCCCCAACCATACCTATTATAGGAAAAGATGAGTAGAAAAGGTAAGATCACATGCTATACCACAAAGAACAACACAACACCAATAAAACCTAAAAACCCTATAACAGCAAGACCTGAACAACCAAATATGGATGAACCAGAAGAAAATGACCTAAAAAATAACTTCAAGAGAATGCTTGAAATTCTTAAACATGAAATGAGAAATTCCCTTAAAGAAATTGAGGAAAAGACAAACAAAAAAACTGGAAGATATCAGGAAATCATTTAAAGAAAACCAAGAAAAAGAAATAAAACATATGAAAGAAACTATTCAGGACTCGAAAACTGAAATAGAAACAATAAAGAAAACACAAGTCAAAGGAATTATAGAAACAGAAATCATGAGAAAAAGATCAGGAATCACAAACTTAAGCATGAACAGCAGAATACAAGAAATGGAGGAGAGAATCTCAAGTGCTGAAGATACAATAGAGGAAATAGACTCATTAGTTAAAAAAATTAAATCTAACATTAAATCTAATATTAAATCTAACAAAACGATGAAAAGGCCAAATCTTAGAATAATTGATACAGAAGAGGGAGAAGCTCAAAGCAAAGGCACAGAAAATTTATTTAACAAAATCATAGAAGAAAACTTTCCATACCTAAAGAAAGATATGCCTATGAAGATAGAAGAAGCTTACAGAACACCAAATAGACTGGATCCAAAAAAAAAGAAAAGTCCTCTCGCCACATAATAATCAAAACACTAAACATACAAAGTAAAGAAAGAATATTAAGAGCTGCAAAGGAAAAAGGCCAAGTAACATATAAAGGTAGACCTATCAGAATTACACCTGACTTCTCATTGGAGACAATGAAAGCCAGAAAGTCATGGTCAAGCATTATGCAGACATTAAGAGACCATGGATGCCAGCTCAGACTACTATACCCAGCAAAACTGTCAATTACCATAGAAGGATAAAACAAGATATTCCATGACAAATCTAGATTTCACCAATACCTAGCCACAAACCCAGCCCTACACAAAATAC